TTAACCTATATATATCAGCTATTACCTAGATATCAGCTATAACCTGTATTCAAGCTATAACCTATATATCAGCTATTATCTATATACAAGCTATAACCTATATACCAGCTATAATCTATATACCAGCTATAACCTATATACCAGCTATTGCCTAGATACCAGCTTTATCCTATATACCAGCTATGATCTATATACTGGCTATTAGCTATATACCAGCTATAACCTATATACCAGCTATTAACTAGATTCCATCTATAACCTATATACCAGCTATAACCTATATACAAGCTATAACCTATATACAAGCTATAATCTATATACCAGCTATAATCTATATACCAGCTATAACCTATATACCATATATTGCCTGGAAACCAGCTTTTACGTATTTACCAGCTATGATCTATATACAAGATATAACCTATATACTAGCTATAAACTATATACTAGCTATAAACTAGATACCAGCTAGCTATAATCCATACACTAGCTATAACCTACATATTAGCTATAACCTGTATACCAGCTATTACCTATAAACTAGCTATAATCTATATACTAGCTTTAACCTATATATATATCAGCTATTACCTAGATATCAGCTATAACCTATATACCAGCTATATACTATATACTAGCTTTAACCTATACACTAGCTTTTACCTATATACCAGCTATAACCTCGATACCAGCTACTAAGTATTACCTAGATACCTATTATTACCTATATACCAGCTATAACCTATATACAAGATATAACCTATATACGAGCTATAACCTCTATACAAGCTATAACCTATATACAAGCTATACCCTATATACGAATTATTACCTAGATACCAGCTATTACCTATATACAAGCTATAAACTATATACAAGCTATAATCTATATACTAGCTATAACCTATATACAATCTATAAACTATACACAAGCTGTAACCTATATACAAGCTATAACTTATATACAAACTATAACCTATATACTAGCTATAACCTATATACTAGCTATAACCTATATACAAGCTATAACTTATATTCACACTTTAACCTATATACTAGCTATAACTTATAAACTAGCTATAATCTAAATACCTGCTGGTACCTATATACAAGCCATAACCTTTACATCAGCTATAACCTATATACTAGCTTTAACCTATATACATACTATTACCATTATACTAGCTATAACCTATGTACCAGCTAAAGGCTAGATCCTGACTATACCCCATATACCAGTTTTAGTCTATTCTAGATACTGGCTATAACCAGTATACCAACTATACTCTAAATACTAACTATAACCTATAGCATGTTTTTTCTTGTAAGAACTAAACTTTAATGAACAGACGACAAATTACTTGAGTTGAAGGAAATTAAAGCGGACACAATCTTCAGTCTACAAACACAAGGCCGTGCCTTCTGTATCCTTGACTAAAGAAATGCTATGTTTATATACACTTAGTTTTGATAATTCAGATATTCACAATCACGTCTCATATAATCACAGCATATGGACTGATAGATGTAATGTTTTGATGTATGAAAACACCTTTTAATCGTAAGTTCTAGTGTTTTATTGTAAATTTCTTTCTTTACATCTCATTGTACATTAACACCAACATGAACCAATGGTTACTGTTGCATTCTAATGATTTCTTAATTTTTAGACAAGAAACACTTCATCTTCAGTATAAGTTGTAGACTTTTATTTATTTAATAATTTATTTTCCCTAGAGAAGTTAGAAAAAACAATGGCACGACCTTCAGTCCTTCAAAGAAAAAATGCTCATCTGGATCGCTATTCAAAAATTGAAGAGTCTTAATTAACATAAGAGTAAGTAATGACATTTTCTTTCTTTGAAACGAAAGTGGTCTGAGGTTTGGTCGTACGAAACGTTCACATGGTCCTTAAATCTTATGAACAAGGATGTTTTTGTCATAAAATTTCCTAATCACGTGAAACTGTAACGATGTGGTTTTTGGTGATGATGTGTTCATGGTTTTTCCTCGAATGTTGTATTGTTCATCAACGTGATTGGGTTTGGTCTTAATTGTTGTAATCAACATGTTATTGTGTAGATATTTCCCTCTGTTTCGTAAATTTTCAAAAGGAATCCTAAACAGCTCAAAACTAAAGGACTTGATAAGTATACTACAAGAAGTATGTTGAAAGTTGTTAAGTATTTAGGAATTTTTTTTCCGATCATATATTTCCCTCTTTATTTTCAATAAAAAATATTGTTCCCGGAAGTAAAAAGAAAATGGTGAATTCTTAAAACTTCTGTATCAATCACTATAATTATAATGCGTTACTAACGCAGTTAGAGGTATTAATGTATATTTTGACCTCTTTATTAATGATTGTAAGTGCCGTTGGCAATGTGTAAATTTCTTTTTGTTCAATTCACAGTATTCTAATTTTAAATACATTTTCAAAATTTTCATGAAAATTAGTATGAATCTGGAGGTATGCTGCTTTAATATAACGGAATATATGGAATCAAGGGGCTAACAACATGGTGTGGCCTAAATGCATCGATTCGAAGACTATTTCTTGTACTTTGACATTATTTCAATTAACAATAACGTAGAAGACCTATCGCTGTATACAACTGATGAATTCAAACTGCATTATCGCCCATAAATTTGACAATTGTTCACAACAATACTGGACTGGACGCCATGTTGTCAGTTTGTGTTACCTCGAAAATCAAGTAATTCCGTACCGTGAACATTTGCAACTTAAATTTATATGGACAATGTGACTAACACGGGTTCAGTATATTTATCAATAAATTGATAGCAAAGTTTGTCAAGTTTTACCACAAGCGTTTTGTTTTTCTTTGTTAGGATAAACGTCATATTGATGTTGATGAGGTGCAATTGAGATGTAATTGAGATGCTATTGTTTTCTGTCTGCTTATTCAGTTTCATGGAACGCTTAAAAGTACTTAAAACGAAAGGGGGAAAAGGGAAATGTATTCAAAACCAAAGATTAACTGTAAATTATAACATTCACTTTCATTATGATATTGTTATAATCATTATAATTACAGGACAAAATACCATGTCATGAGATAAGACATAGTGTGTGTTTTTTCTGTTATTTGCTTCCCTGCTTTATTTACCATGGCATTCTGACGTTTGATTGGTTGTGTTGATAGCTTGATAAGACAAGTATGTATGTTTCGCTGTGATTAGGAGGATGTCTCTCATTTGGTGCATCGCATGAGCATGTGTCCCAAATCTTGCACCACGATACGTTTTGAGAACATGAGTATGTCTCACATTTGATGCACCACGGCACGCTATAAGTACATGAGCATATCTCACACCTGGTGTCACACGACACGCTAGGTGTACATGAGCATGTCTCACATTTGATGCACCACGGCACGCTATAAGTACATGAGCATTTCTCACATCCGATGTACCACGACACGCTTTGAGTACATGAGCATTTCTCTCCTCTGATGTACCACGACACGCTATGTGTACTAGAGCATATCTCACAATTGATGTACCACGGCACGCTTTGAGTACATGAGCATGTCTCTAATTTGGTGCACCACGGTACGCTTTGAGTACATTAGCAAGTCTCACAATTGGTGCACCACGGTACGCTTGAGTAAAATTAGCAAGTCCCACAATTGGTGCACCACGGTACGCTTTGAGTACATTAGCAAGTCTCACAATTGATGCACCACGGCACACGTGTTTGTATCTGGCAGAACACTGATAGTTGTAATTATACTAAACATGTTTAAACTCCAGACAATGTTACTCTAGCACCGGTGTTGTGCATAACACTAACTGAATCAGTTATCCCGAATGACTTGAACACTATAACTAAATAGAGCGCGGGATCATTTTATTGGCACTGTGTTGTATTAGAGCACATTGTTTGGCTTAGAGTAATGTAAGGCTGGATGTTCTTGTGGGCTGTGTGACTTGGAAGGCGATCTTGAATGTTGATTTTTGTATTCTTTGACGTACATAAAGAACATTATTTAAGATATGAAACCAATACCAAAACATTTCAAACTTAACTCACAATAACTTGTATTAATATTTAACCTGCTGAAATCCTCCATCAATGGACGTGTCCAGCTTCCATTTTCAGAACTGTTGGTCAAACTGCAATGATGTGAAGTCTATCCTGACTCTGTCCTGTTACCTCAAGGTAAGGGTTAAATGAAATAATTTCAATGACAATAAATCTAGTTTTGAGTTTTCTGATGGCTCAAGTGTTAACAGCATTCTAGTCAAATACATATACATGTAGGTAGTTTCCAACTTAGTGTTGTTCATTCATCAATATGAATATTTCAGATGCCTTTTTTATTATGTACCGCCTCCGTGGTCTAGGGGTTAGAGTCGATGACTTCGAATCCAGTTACCTCTCTGGCGTGGTTTCGATCCCCGGGAGATGCTTTGGTAGTTTAGCGCGGAGGAAGGTAGTCTAGTACTGATGTAACTCTCCAGGAACGATGGTTAGGAAAATACCCGCCTACATGACTGAAATACTGTTGGGAACAGGCGTAAAATAATGAAACAAACAAACAAACAAAAATTTTTTTTACTATCGTGTGTTTATTAAGTGGACGAGAGACAGAAGAAATATTTGCGACAAAATACAGAAAAAATTGTCTATCACACCATGGACACGAATCTGATATGTATTGACTTAAGTGTTTTCAAACTAAGATTTTGGGAAGGCTTACACAATTTTATTTGTGTGCATGAGTGGCATAAGAAGTAATATATTTCCATTTAAATAAGGAAATGGAATACCCCGACCTCCAATTGTAATCTATGACCTATCCAAAAAAAAAATACCTAACATATCATAAGAAGAAAAACTTGTGATTTCAAGATCAGGAGTTGAGTATCTATTAATTAAGGAAATTATAGCATTATCATGTAGTTAATTATTTTAGTATCCTCATTTATGTACTCTCCCTATAAATATCCGTTCCCTGTTGTTGTTTAGCTACTTTTCATTGACGGATAGACACAAAAGTTTACAAGGTACGTAATTCTATGTGACAGTTAATTATGATAACGGTACATTTACTTGTAAAGATATTATCAAAGATTTAAATACAAAAAAATATGCATACAGATTTGTATATATTTGTATGTTACTTTTAGATGGTATTTTTTATAAGACTTTTATATTTATCCAAAAGTGTCATGCGATAATATATGTACTGATTTTATATGTATAAACTATCGTTATAAATTAATTCATAGATGAATAAATGGATAGATAAAAAATAGATAAAAACTTAAACAAAGAATTGCTTAACAAGCTCTATTTTTTAAAATGTATGGAAATGGATTCGTTGAAAATACTATAAAATACTAAAATGAAATATTTCCTGTTTCGCATTGTTGTGGGTTGTTTCTTTATAATTAAGTTGGGTGTATTAGTGGATATAATATCATTTTATAACACAATTAGTAGATATAATTCAAATCTCGATGCAGCTATTTACTTCTCTAAAGCATTGCATTAAGGTATGTTGAAAAAAATGAACTTTATGTCGGCTGTTATAAATCATTTATTTACCTATTAATCACCTTTCACACTCATTTTTTCAGATTAAGAAGTATCTTTTTACATTTTATATGCAATAAAGGAATATACATATTGCTGTTTTTGTTTTTTCCAGGGCCATGACATTGACGAAAATCAACTATTAAACAGGAGCATCAGCTTCTATGCCACTCACAATGTCATCTACAAATGCCCAGAACTTGTCTCTATCATTATGTACTATATTGGATAGTTTTGGGTACAGTAAAGAGCAAATTGAACTTCGATCAAAAGAAATGGATTACAGTCTTCAAAAAATAGAAATTACTGCCAACAGTTTCTTTAAATATAGTCTTTTACCTGAATTAACATACGTATCAGCTGGCAGTACAGGTGAAGGTATCCGACTGTCCGACAGTGATATTGACTATATGAATGCATTTCAAGATATCATATGCGTTGATGAAGGTTTCGAGAATAGTGTATGCGTAGTTCTTGAAAGTGATAGAACTAGTACGGCACCAGGTTACACAAAAATAGTTCTTATTTCTAACCTTGATTCATTTGATTTAAGAACATCATCTATGATTGAAAAGTACATGTATTTGCAAATAATGAGCAAATATCGTACGCAATCGGGGAAAAAATATATATCTAGTGAACAATTCAAAGGTATTACATTGGATGCAATGAATTTATTTGGATTGAAGATCTTTGGTAAGTGTTCAGGACCGGCCTTCCAACCAAATGATGATTTAAAAGTACAAATAGATTCAGTGATAAGTATTTATTTCTATGGAGGTAATTATTTAAACAAGTGGACAAACAGATCAAGGAATCACGCATGGCCTACATCCGAGGTTGTGAATGAAGTATCCCAGATGGAAGGATATATTGTACCAATTGGGGACAAACAAAGCGACATGCAAGCATATGAATGGAGAATATGTTATACTACAGCAGAAAAGAGATTAGTGTCAAGTCTTTCCGATACTCAACTTAAAGCATACGTATTATTAAAAATCATGGCTAAAACACTACTAAAACCGAGATGTAACTTTTTAACTTCATATGTTGTAAAAAATGTTATTTTCTGGGTCATGGAAATGTCAGATTCCTGTGAGTTATCGCCCAGTCACTTAGTTAATCTTATTCAAAAAGCGATATTTTTCATAAAGCACTGCGTCATTAACAATCATTTACCCAACTACATGATACCGGAAAGAAATCTGCTGAGAGGTGATGTGTTTGGTAAAGATAAGGTGGCCATTATAAGCTTCCTGTCAGACTGTCTAGAAGAAGGTGGAAGTATCCTGCTTAAAGTTCCTAAATTATATCATTGCGTCGCATTATCAATTTCAAAACCTGACCTTTTTCCCGTGTTCAGGAAATGGAGAGATGAGACAGAACGGATATTATGCCTGCTAACAGAGTGTATTTATGACTTTAGTGTTGTGAACCTGGTCGAGCAGAACCCATCAGTTGATGGGTTATTTAATTCGTTGCCCCGTAGATGTATGAGTGACAATAAAACTGTTGTGGCTTTTGAAAAACTCTTTATTCATGTTGTGCCAGATTTGTGGAGTTTGGAATGTTCAGGGACAACCGAAGAAGACATATACCAAATTTTTTTAGAAAGATTAAAACTTTTGAAAATCCTTTAATGAGGAAAATGTACAGTTCATCTGTAAATAAAATCAACACGACAGTTGGCATTTTACTAATTTATGATAATATTTATTGTACGTACAAACTAATGCAAAGGATAGTTATAGTAAGGATTTTACAAATTTAAAGGTGATTAATGGAAATAAAGTGAAAATTAAGAGGATTTCCGCCAGGAAGTGTAAACCATGTTCATGTTTATCCAACTAGATTCCTGCTCACGTCAAGAAAACGAAGTGGAAAGGGACGGAACTCCAGACTTACGTAGTGTGAGGAGTGATCACAAAATGAGATTGAAGCCAATTATAAAAGATTAGAAACAAAACAAAAGCAAACAAAATTTTGTTAATGATAATATTGTCTTATCCTTATATATTGTCATTCCATGATTTTTGAATGAATTTATTTGTGTACTCATCGATATCATTAAAGCAATGCAGGTAACCATTCCTGATGTCTTCTCGTTGTTTATATTATGATTGATAAAGAGAAAAAAATATTTTCTTTTCGTTTGTGCAAGCGAAGGATTAGAAAATAAAGAACTTTTGCATACATGACAATACTTAATTATTGAATCCATTTCCTTTACGTTGTAATTATCCACCCCCTTCTACCCTCTTCCCTTCAATACACTTCTAATTTTAATTGTACCACTTATGATTTCTTATGGTTTGTCCTTGGTATTGTAAGAACTTAAATTTTGGGTGAAGACTTACAAGTGTGTTTATATGTGTGTGTAAGTGTGCATGTGTGCGTTGGTCCGTGTGTGTATGTGAAAGGCATTATTGGTATTTTATTACCGTTTTGGATAAAGGAATGTGAACCATGACGTCAAATAGAAACCTATGACATAACTCATATCGGTAAACAACGTTATGAAAAATATTTCATTTCAATATCAGACGTTAGTGTCAAAACTAACTGATACTCAAACTAAAACATACGTATCACTGAAAGACCTGGTAAAAACAATTGTAACACCTAGATTTAAGATATTTTACTTCTTAAGTATTTATAAAAAACGTTTTCTGAATCATAGAAATGACATTTACTGGTCAGTTATCAGTTATCGCCAAGAAACTTATAAAAAAAATATACCTTTTCATAAAGCACCGCATCATTAACAACACTTAACCAAACTACATGATGCCGGAAGGAAATCTCCTGAGACGTTCTTTGATTGGTATTAGAAGGGGGACGTCTCAAAATTGCGGAAAATCACTATTTTGGATTGTTTGTTTTTTCCCCATCAAAACTGATTTCAAAGTGCTGCAATTTCTCAATGGATTGAGATAGAGTAAAAGGCTTCTCAGAGTTTGTTACTAGTTACCCTCAGATCGACCTGAGTCCATTTTTAGCCTGTCTCATGTCCAAACTTTTCTTGGCGATAAGGGGGACTGCCGCCCCCTTCAAACCCCCCAAACAGAAGGGCGACACATCCCCCTTTTGGCAACCCCTTGATGTACCATTTTCTGGGGGCGGCGCCGAAAAAAGTGATCATTTTTTTACAACATTTCTCAAACGAAAAACAGTTATTGGGGCCTTAACAGGGGCATTTCTCTCTGTTTGAGGCCTCAAAAAGGGGGAAAGGGGGCAAAAAACCGTCAAAACACGTTTATATGAGGTAAAAGGTTAAACTAATAACTAATGATAATCCCATTGTTATACATAAATTATATTGTCCTGTAATTCGATTGTATTTTATGTCCTTAAATGTAATTTAATATTTGAATGTGTAAAGTTTGGGGAGAAAATAATAAAAAAGATAGATTATTGTTTTACTAAATACATGTATACTAAAATTCTGACATGATGCTGTTCTCAAAATGGTTATGAAATCTCGTTTGTAATCCATTTCGGCGTACTGACATTGAGGTATGGTGAGTTTTAGACAATAAGCATCATTTAATGAACCTAGACACTAGTGTAGAAATACCTAGCAATGAAAGATATTTGGAACTGTACCTGCTTGATTTATGCAACCCGTCCTAAAACACAAACGTATTACAAATCGGTAACATTACAAGTGGCGACATATTTGATGTCATTGCTATCTTTTAGCTCAATTCCTTGTAAAGTATATTTAAAATATTAAGTAAAAACACCAGTTAAACTGACTAAGACACTTTTTAGTAATTAATAGACTTTAGAATAAAATTTTGGTATTCATTCCATTTGGTGATAAACTATCCGAATGATATATTCAGGAAATCTCTTTTAAAGTATTTTCCAATGATGTGTTACTTTATCAATAGTCATAAAAGAGAAATCCTTGCTAACTATAGTATGTCCTCGGCTATTAAAAAGTTCAGAAACATTTATAGTTGTTTCAGGATAATGGTTTATATCAAATCTATGACTATTCTTGCTGTTTGGAGCATATTTGACTAGTTTGACCAACATATTGTTTTGGACATTTTACATGTAATCAAGTAACCGCTATTGATGTCGTATGACGCTGACATTATTTAATTCCTGTCTAGTATTTATTTATGTACCCTTCAGAAGACTATTCAGTCGAAAAGTTGGTAAATTAAAGGGAATTTTAAGAATTTGCAGTTGACTATTTATTTCCTTTTATTATTAAAGTACATGTATACATATTCAAAAATTTGTAAAGTGATAACAGGTAAATCAATCACCTATTGAAGTTATCTGGATTAATTAGTATATATTTTTAAAATCAAGTGCCATATTGTTGACAATATGATAAGCCTGTTATGAAATTTGGGGCAAGATAAAGTACACGCTTGTGACAAAGGCACACATATATACATGTATATCCTATAAAAAAACAAATTATGAAAAAATGTAAACAAAAAGTTTCAACTTTAATTAGGAATAGTGAAAAACAGAATCCATAAAGAAAGCCCAACACGGCAAAATTGTAAAATGTTGCAGGCTCGGTTTGATTGAGCCTGTTCATGGACGGTAATGAAAATTGCATGTTACCGTCCACGCCCTCTAGCACCGGCTTTAGCAGAATTTAACATTTAAACACAAAAATGATGAAATTTTGAATTTAGTAACATTCGCAGATGTGTTCATATACGGCGGTTGTCATGGAACCTTCAATGTGACTTTTAATCTTTCCAAATTTGTCGGAAGGTCTAGCTCATTCTAGACATACTAAATTCTCTATTCTTGTAAAAATACTAATCCTGAATCCAAAATTCATGCAGAATTCATTTTCAAGCATTATCTTATTCTTTATGATGACTGAAGCTCACACTGGTTGCCTTAATTCATGGCTTTGCCGTTTCTGTTAAGATTCTTGTGATCCACGCTGTCCTACATGCATGGAGATTCTTCTTCTTCTTCTTCTTCCAATACTGTACATAACCCACTCTGGAGCATTGACGTACAGGGTGTATGTACAAAGTGTTGTGCGGCGAATAAGTGCAGATTTAAAAGAAGAACATGTTAAAAATAAAATCAACTCTGGCATATTAGGGCCCCATGACTAGTCCTCCCTTGAAGGCCTCAAGGTTGACTGCTGTGGCTAGGTGCTCTGGAAGCTGGTTCCACAGGCGGATGGCCGAAGGTACAAAGGAGAACTTCATGGCGTCTGTTCTGCAGAATGGGACATGGAATCTGTGTCCATAGCCATGGCCACCAAGTGTCAAGGGGGTGGAAGTACTGTGCAGCTGGGATGGCTATGAGGTTGTGCGTGATCCTGTAGACCATCACTAGCTTGGCATTGGAGCGGCGATGCTGTAGAGTTGGCCAGCCTAGGTCTGTCATCATTGCAGTGGTGCTGCTGGTAGTTTTGTAGTCGCCTTTTACAAATCGGGCTGCTCGCCTTTGGACAGCTTCAAGCTGGTTGATGTTGGTGGCTGTGTGTGGGTCCCAGACTGTGCCTGCGTACTCCAGGATTGGTCTAACAAGGGTCTTGTAGGCCTGGGCCTTGATGTCTTGTGGGCAGCTTGTGATGTTTCTTCTGAGGAATGATAGTGAGTTGTTGGCCTTTTTGATGGTAGATTCTGTATGTTTGTTCCATGAAAGATTATTAGCGATGTTGACACCAAGGTACTTTCCACTTTTGACAGATTGAAGAGTTGATTGATGGACCTTGTAAGCATAAATGATGGGGCTTCTTTTCTTGGTGATGTGTATGACTTCACATTTGCTGGGATTGAAAGACATCATCCACTTGCGTTCCCATTCCTGGAGTCTATCTAGGTCTTCTTGGAGGGCTAATGCGTCAGCTTCTGATTTGATTTTCCTGTAGATCAGGCTGTCGTCAGCAAATAGGCGGCTGATTGAAGTCACGCACTTTGGTAGGTCATTGATGTAAAGGAGGAACAGTAAAGGACCTAGTACTGTCCCCTGGGGTACACCGGATGTAACTGGGGAGGATGCAGATGAATGGCCTTCAACGACAACTTGTTGGCTGCGGCCAGACAGGAAGCTCTCAATCCAGCTTCTGACTGTCCCTCTGATGCCGTAGTGATCTACCTTGGAGAGGAGTCGTTGGTGAGGCACAACATCGAACGCCTTACTGAAGTCTAGTAGTATGGCGTCTACTTGTTCCCCTTGATCCAGGGCTGATGACAGGTCTTGAAGAGTAAGAAGAAGCTGACTTTCAGTTGAGCGTTGTTTTCTAAATCCATGTTGTTGATCTGAAAGGATGTTGTGATGGTCAAGGTGTTTCATAATTTGGCTATGTAGGATGTGTTCTAGGAGTTTGCTGCATACTGATGTGAGAGAAATGGGTCTGTAGTTGGCAGGGTTGCTACGGTCACCTTTTTTGAAGATAGGTGATACATTTGCCTTCTTCCAGACTGAAGGTACTGTTCCTTGTTGTAAAGAGGCGTTGAACAAGAGGGTGAGAGCCGGAGTAATGTCTTCGGCATAGTCCTTCAGGAATTGTGTAGGTATATAGTCAGGACCAGAGTTCATGCAGATTAATTGCTTTACAATTTCTGTAGAACAGCTACGGATGAATACTAACATAAATTATTTAGTGTCAAACTTTATTTGGCCCCATAATCACTCACTTTATTACGTCACTATGCCATTCTATGAAAAATAGAAGTTGACTATGAACGTCTTACGAAATTCGATATAGTATCGACTTCTGTTCTTCTATAAGAAATTAACGCACAGGATTTTTAAAAAATACAGCGTTTTCATTGGATGACAAATAAAGTTTGACACTAAGCACGTATAGTGTTGATCTATAAGGCATTATAGCAGGCTCAAATTCTGATTGCGGGAATATTTTTGGCCGTGTCAAGACAAGTACTGCGCTCCTAGTCTGGTTCCCGTCGTACAGTTTATATTTATTGAACGGAGAGAAAAGGGCAGGTAATCCAGAATACTGCCCTCCGGGCGTTTGAAGGCCAGAAAACCACAGGGACCCAGCACAGTGTTGGGATAGTGTAAAAGAGTAATTTTTAAAAAAAATATATATTGTATATAAAGTATAATTTTTTTTTCTAGAATTACATTTTTTACACTATCCCAACACTGTGCCGGGTCCCTTTGATACACACCGGTCTCTCAAATAAGACCGGTTTAACAGGAAAAATATTTAGTGGTGTTACACCTGTATAGGGTATTTAGCAGTGTTTAGCCCTTTAAATATTTTTAGATGTTAAAAAACCTCTTGTTTTCAATTTTAGTTAAATGGAAAATGCGTTTAGTTATGTAACAGAACCTCAACCGAGAATGCAAGGTAAAGTACACTTTATACGAATGCAAATATTTCATTTTTGGTATCTATTAATGTGGTTTTAAACAGTGTTTCAAGTGAAGGGTGTCCGGATAATATTATTTTCGGACATTACTGTAAGTTAAACTTCGGTTTACATACATAGTATAGGGAATACACATATGCCTTGATTTATGATTGTTTAAATTATGTGAATCTGGCTTAAACACCTATCATCATAATGAACTAATCAATTGTAAACATGTATTTTAAAGCAGAAAATTTCTTTTCATTCAGACCTTGATAATAGCCGTGTTAAGATAAGATAAGATAAGATAAGATAAGATAATCTTTATTTAAAGTCGGTTTCATAAAAACATATAAACATTAGCTATATAAGCTATTTTCCGACAAAACTTATTATCCTATAACAATTCAAACAAACAATCTGTATAAAAGAAAATATATAAAAGTATTAAGAAGATCAATGTACATTTATGAAAGACTCTGTAAAACAGTTAAGATTTATCAGCACATATAAATATGGGTAAGAAAGCATTAAATGATTAAAGCAAATATACATTACAATCAAACATCACATAAAATTACATCATACAAGAGTTCTATTTATGTACACAACCCTAAAATCAGAAAAAGGATTAGAATTTTTTAAAAATTTAAATTTTTAAAATAAATTAAAGTAAATGATTCAATTTTATTTTATTTAAATATAGTTAACCTAATTTCCAGTATGATGCTTGAGCACATATCAGTAGCAGCATCTGATATGTACTCAGTCATGAAACTATGGGTGTAACTAAAACATGTACAAGTATCATAATAATAAAACTTAAAATGTTGAAATGTTTGTGTAACAGATGCTGATCTGAGTTGGCCTAGATAAATTCATGGTCTAAGTTAATTACTTAATTAATTAGAACAAAAATAAAATAAAAGTAGAAATAAAAAGGTAAAAATAGACTTAAAGAAGCTATTGTCCCCTTTATGGGATATATGAAAAGCTGATCAGCAGCTGTCACATATACAAACACTAACATGCACTGACAAATGACTATACAAATATACACACAAGAAGCACATGAAAAGCATTACATGATAAAACAGGTCTTATACAGCATTACTCTATGGCAGACAGAAATACAGGAAAAACAAAAGAAGAAACAAAAGAAGCATGCATATTCATTTGATTCACATTTCAAAACTCAACAAAAAACATAACACTTAGGCACACATAGAACATTTGCATTTGAAGCCACTCCAGGTTTGGATAAGCCTCCGAAATTCACCGTAATCAGTTTCTGTTCTTAGTTCATTCGGGAGGCTATTCCAGACCTGGGTGGCCTCATAGCGAAAGCTTTTCTTACCATAAGTCTCTGTATTTACTCTAGGAACTTCAAGTGTGTTGTTATTTCTAAAAGAGTAATAAGAGGAATTTACTTTAATTAGTTCTTGAACATATTTTGGTGATATATTTTGCAAACATTTAAAAACTTCAATAGCTAATTGTCTTAATCTACTGATATGTAAAGTTGGCATATTAGCTTTACTTAAAAGAAATTCATATGATGAGCTGTAATCCTCAAAAACTATCTTCAATGATCTATGTTGTAACTTTTCAAGTTTTTCAGTATTTTGTTTACTACAAAAATGCCAAACTAAAGGACAATAGTTAAAATTTGAACGAACAAAGGATTTGTAGATTAACAATCTAGTATTTTGATTTAAGAATTTACTCAGTCTAGCAAGAATGTTGATTTGTTTTGCAGCCTTTTTGCAAATGTTAGATACATGTAAGTCAAAATTTAGTAAAGAGTCTATTTCAACACCAAGAAGTTTCACGCTTTTTTCACAGACAATTTCTGTACTATTAAGACAAAAAGAGGTTAATTTACTAGTTGTTTGTTTTCCAATACAAATTGCCTGAAATTTGTCCGGATTGGCTTGCATTAGATTATTATCAAACCATTTTATCATAGATAAACTTTCATTTTCCAGTATAGATTGTAAAGAGTCAATATTGGTATCACAGTAAGATAATGTGTTGTCATCAGCATAATTGTACACAGTGGCTAATTTAATAAAGTAAAAGATGTCGTTAATAAAGATGTTAAAAATAAGAGGCCCTAGAATGGATCCCTGTTGTCACTGAAGATTTCGAGACGTTTCGGCCCCAAGACGTATCGGCCCCAAATTACCCAAGACGTTTCGGCCCCAAACGTTTCGGCCCTTTACCAAATCGGCCCCAGAATAAGTACTGTGTTTGAAACCATTATAATTAATTTTTATATTTATAATAATCATAAATGACAATTTTCATGAAGTGGAACGCCAATTTCCAAGTACCTTGAAAGATTTACGATACGTCTTATATATTTTACGTAAAAGATTAAATCTTTACCAAAACCATCAACGCTTAGATACTTGTTGCATTTAATGTTAACTTCAATGTTTATGTATATCTCATTTATAAATTATAATAAATAGCTACTCGTTATTATTTCCTTGATATTGAAAAATCTAACACATTTAATTATCAGGTAAGGAAAGTTAGTTGTTCATGCACGTGAAAATCGAAATATCCGGTCATGTAATTTTACAATGAAAAGAAAACAGAAGCCATAATATCTATAATTCTTTTGTCACTGTCAACATTGTTTGATTAAACTAATTAATAAATATATAGCAGGTACATTTATGATTTGGTTTCAGTCTTTCAATCACTTTTATAACATCTAGCATCTATCATTATCTAATAACAATAATAATTAAAAATATTATCAGGAGATTATAGCAAACCGTTTTTTAGCTCGACTTTTTTTTTTGAAAAAAAAATAGAGGTATTGCTACAGTCAGGTCGGCGTTGCCGTTGCCGTTGCCGTTGCCGTCCGAAAACTTGTACCTGGATCATAACTTTTTTATTTCTTTGTGTATTGTCTTCATACTTGGCCACAACAACCCTTGGGACAAGACCTTTAAGTAGACCACACTAACCTTGACCTTCATCCATAAATGACCTTGACCTTCAAGGTTAAAAGTCCAATTTTTGCTTGTTCATGCTGTTATTGGCTGTAACTTTGTTATTTTTGAATGGATTGTCTTCAAACTTGAACGTAATAATCTTTAAGGATATCCTTAAAAATAACCAGCCAGACCTTGACCTTCACTCATAAATGACCTTGACTTTGAAGGTCAAATTATTGAAATTTTCATTTTTTTTGGCTTTTATTGGCTGTAAGTTTGTTATTTTTGAATGGATTGTCCTGAAACTTGAACATAATAATCTTCAAAGATTACTGTTAAAGATATACCGGAAGACCTTGACCTTCACACATTAATGACATTGTCTTTGAAGGTCAAATTATTGAAATTTTCATTGTTTTGGCGGTCACTGACTGTAACTTTGCTATTATTGAAGGGATCAACTTCATATTATTAGAGAACATTCTTAAGGACCAGACCTTGTTGTTTATCAAACCCAACTTTGCTTGGGCTCTTAAATGACCTTGACCTTGAAGGTTAAATTACTGAATTTTCTCAGATTTGTGCAGTAAATGACCATATTTAAATATTTATTGGTGTGTGTGTGTCTATATATATATATTTACAACAACAACAACAATAACTAAAATTGTGTCATTGTTTCTATTTATAGAATTGCGTCATTGTTTCTATTTATAGAATTGCGTCATTGTTTCTAAAAAAAAATAGAGGTATTGCTACAGTCAGGTCGGCGTTGCCGTTGCCGTTGCCGTTGCCGTCCGAAAACTTGTACCTGGATCATAACTTTTTTATTTCTTTGTGTATTGTCTTCATACTTGGCCACAACAACCCTTGGGACAAGACCTTTCAGTAGACCACACTAACCTTGACCTTCATCCATAAATGACCTTGACCTTCAAGGTTAAAAGTCCAATTTTTGCTTGTTCATGCTGTTATTGGCTGTAACTTTGTTATTTTTGAATGGATTGTCTTCAAAACTTGAACATAATAATCTTTAAGGATATCCCTTAAAAATAACCAGCCAGACCTTGACCTTCACTCATAAATGACCTTGACTTTGAAGGTCAAATTATTGAAATTTTCATTTTTTTGGCTTTTATTGGCTGTAAGTTTGTTATTTTTGAATGGATTGTCCTGAAACTTGAACATAATAATCTTCAAAGATTACTGTTAAAGATATACCGGAAGACCTTGACCTTCACACATTAATGACATTGTCTTTGAAGGTCAAATTATTGAAATTTTCATTGTTTTGGCGGTCACTGACTGTAACTTTGCTATTATTGAAGGGATCAACTTCATATTATTAGAGAACATTCTTAAGGACCAGACCTTGTTGTTTATCAAACCCAACTTTGCTTGGGCTCTTAAATGACCTTGACCTTGAAGGTTAAATTACTGAATTTTCTCAGATTTGTGCAGTAAATGACCATATTTAAATATTTATTGGTGTGTGTGTGTCTATATATATATATTTACAACAACAACAACAATAACTAAAATTGTGTCATTGTTTCTATTTATAGAATTGCGTCATTGTTTTATTTATAGAATTGCGTCATTGTTTCTATTTAGAGAAATTGGGTCATTGTTTTTTTGGTTTTTTTATAGAAATGCGTCATTGTTTCTATTTTTAGAGATTGCATCATTTTTTCTATTTTTAGAAATTGCATCATAATTTCTATTTTTAGAAATTGCATCATTTTTTTCTATTTTTAGATATTGCGTCATAATTTCTATTTTTAGTATTTTTAGAGATTGCATCATTTTTTCTATTTTTAGAAATTGTGTCATAATTTCTATTTTTAGAAATTGCGTCATAATTTCTATTTTTAGAAATTGCGTCATTGGTGCTATTTTTAGATATTGCGTCATTTTTTCTATTTTTAGAAATTGCGTCATAATTTCTATTTTTAGTATTTTTAGAGATTGCATCATTTTTTCTATTTTTAGAAATTGCGTCATAATTTCTATTTTTAGAAATTGCATCATTGGTGCTATTTTTTAGAAACTGTGTCATAATTTCTATTTTTATAAATTGCGTCGTAATTTCTATTTTTAGAAATTGCGTCATTGGTGCTATTTTTTAGATATTGCATCATTTTTTTCTATTTTTAGAAATTGCGTCATAATTTCTATTTTTAGTATTTTTAGAGATTGCATCATTTTTGCTATTTTTAGAAATTGCGTCATAATTTCTGTTTTTAGAAATTGTGTCATTGTTGCTATTTTTAGAATTTGCGTCATTGTTGCTATTTTTAGAAAATGCGTCATTGTTTCTAATTTTAGAGATTGTGTCATTTTTTCTATTTTTAGAAATTGCGTCATAATTTCTATTTTTAGAAATTGCGTCATAATTTCTATTTTTAGAAATTGCGTCATTGGTGCTATTTTTAGAAATTGCGTCATTTTTTCTATTTTTAGAAATTGCGTCATTGGTGCTATTTTTAGAAATTGCGTCATTTTTTCTATTTTTAGAAATTGCGTCATTTTTTCTATTTTTAGAAATTGCGTCATTGGTGCTATTTTTAGAAATTGCGTCATTTTTTAGAAATTGCGTCATAATTTCTATTTTTAGAAATTGCGTCATAATTTCTATTTTTAGAAATTGCGTCATTGGTGCTATTTTTAGAAATTGCGTCATTTTTTCTACTTTTAGAAATTGCGTCATAATTTCTATTTTTAGATATTGCGTCATAATTTCTATTTTAGTATATCTAGAAATTGCGTCATTTTTTTCTTTTTTTAGAAATTGCTTCATTTTTTCTATTTTTAGAAATTGCGTCAATTTTTCTATTTTTAGAAATTGCATCATTGTTGCTATTTTTAGAAATTGCATCACTTTTTTATTTTTAGAAATTATGTCATTTTTTGTATTTTTAGAAATTGCGTCATTTTTTCTATATTGAAAAATTGCGTCATGTTGCTATTTTAAGAAATTGCGTACTGTTGCTATTTTTAGAAATATGCTTAATGTTTCTATTCATATATATACAAAATATATAAAGAAAACTAATGTGACAAGACAGACAAACTAAATTTATAAAAAGGAAACGTTAATATATGTTCAAACCTTTCTATGTTTGCGTTTAGAAAAAGTAAAAAGTCGAGCGTTGCCCCCGCCCGGCGGTGGCTCTTGTTAAATCTTTTGAAGTTTTAACCTGCCTTTATTGTTTGTTACACCTTTAAAAACATTAACGTATATCTAAATGGTTCAAAATATCAAAAGATAATAAATAATTATTTAAAGAATTAAAGGTTCATAATTGTTTAATTGTAATTAAATCAATTGTTGTAAAATTAATTTAATTAATTGTCTGTACTATATAGTAGGGCCGAAACGTCTCGCGGAGAAGGGCCGAAACGTCCAGGGGCCGATTTTTCTACTGGGGCCGATTTGGTTTGGGGCCGAAACGTCCTGTTTGCTCACTGAATTATGGTGGTTTCGTCAAACTAGGGGTTTGGCAAACTTAATTTATGAAGAGATGCAAAAGTGGTTTCCTCAATCTAATATTATTATTATATAGTAATTAAAGGCAAATAAGACATGGTTCATATTTATATATTATAATAAAAGTGTTTTTATCATGATAAATATTTGTTGTAATTTAATTATGACGCAAATGCCATTAATGAATATAATACAAGTATGTTTATATATTATACTTATTTTGATAATGATTTGTTGGTTAAATGATTAATTAGTCTTGAGAAAAAGAAAATTATTAAAAAAAAATATATATTTGGAATAATTATCCAGATGGCCTTGACAGGAATTTGAATCGGGACTTCAGCATTACAAGGACAACACTCAAACACATTTGCTTAAACGGTAACCTGTAACTACAATGTTGCACTGTATCATGCATCCCACAGTCAAAATATTCAAATATACAAAGCGTGTTTTTGAGAATCACACTTGTATTGCTCACACCCGAAAAATCTCAACTCCTAGTAACTAGTATAAAAAGTTAGAATGAGCCACACAAAAGCTGAAGTGTGTAAGATAAGGTGAGGAAATGAGTCTTTACATAATTTGTACATCTTCTCTAGTCCAACTAATTGAACTATGTGTTGAGATATTGAGTTAATGTGCTATTTTGTGTAAGGACAATATCTCCCCTCCAGAAGCCAGATTCTAACTAAAAACAAACATATCTCAGAATCTAACTTTGGCATGTCCATATATTTTGACTACCTAGTGTCTTTTCTCTTTTGTAGGTCCCACCCATCCATTCAGGATTATCCCTGGTTCTTATAATAGTAAAATATATGGGTAGTTATTTTAATTGCAGGTGGTGACAGTAGGTATAACAGATTGGCACAGGTACAAATGTTTAAAGAGGCAAATCCTGATCTAGAGCTGGAGGCTAAAACTAAGAAAGGTTAGACATGAATTATATTTGTATATTATAATTGTATAAGGTTCTCATTTATTGAAGGGACTCACTCCACTGATGTTTTTTGACATAATGGGACTGGAAGTAATTTTTTAAGGTAAGTGCTCCATTTGATGTAGGTCTAGAATAATAATGTGTGTGCAATTATTGGTGTATTAAGTGACTTTACATTCTCATCATAGCTTCCTTTTTGTTAGCTGTTATGTAATATGTAAACCTGTATCTAGTTTATATTGTCACTTTAGTGCAGTAATAAGTTAACTCCTTATACAATATAATAGGGAATTAAATTTGTTACTGCACTATGGTGAGGAATTATGTATACTATATTTATTCAAGCTCCAACATTTTCAGTTCTACTATACTGAAAATGCTACCGTCTAAAATTAGTGAGATTTTACAAAAATGTAGGTCGACAGATTGAAGAATTATCAATATATAGGAAGAACTATTGTACTCACACCCCCCACCTGCATTAGTGTCACTCTTTTGGTTAAGTTTTTGCATGTAAGTTAGTATTGCCATAAATATGGAAGGGAATGAGTTCAAATTACACACACTTACTTGAGAGCATAATGGGAGGTCACTGTCATTACTCTAACTGTATTGATTTTGACATAATTATGTCCCTTTTTGAACTTAAAAATTCTACATTATCCAGGCTTTATTTTTAACTATTGAGCACTTAGAATAGTTGATCATACTTTGCTACTGACAGCACCTGTTTTTTGAAAATTTTTCTGTTGATTATGAAATGGTAAGTCAAAATGTTAAATAAGAAAATAAAAAATGTATTTTGATATTTTTCAGTGACAGAGAAGTTATCTGAAAGTATGAATATTATAGCCAATGAACCTTCCTTGGCTTTCTTCAGAATACAGGAGCATGTGAGAAAATGTCTTCCACAGTTAGCTGAGACAAAGGTAAACTTGTGACATTCAGATTTTACAAGAGGTGTGGGCAAAGGGTGTGGCCTTTTAAAGCAGCACACCTCCAGATTAATGCTGATTTTTATGAAAAATTTGAAAATTAATTTTAAAGTATAAGATTGTTTGAAGTAACCAAAGGGAAGCAATTTGTACATTATCAATGGCACTTACAATCCACGTTGATTACCAAAAAGAGGTCAAAATATGCAAAAATACAACTTACTGCATTAAAAGGCAGTAGAAAAATATAGATATAAATACTGAAAAACCAGACATTAAATGCACATAACATGTCAATAATTACTTGAAGCTATAATATTTTACTTTTTCTAAAATCTTTGTACATTTTTCTCATGTTTGATTTTATTGAAATATTTTGGCTCATCGGGAGGCATGCAGCTTTAAAATAGCAGATTTTATATATTTCTTGCCAATTCTAAAAATGGTTAATTCAGAAAATTAAAACAGAAATTAATGAGCATGCCCTTGTTTGAAATAAATATTTTGGAATATTTCGAGGGCAATACATGAACATTTACTTAAATAGTATCACATTTCCGCCTTGTCACGTCACGTCTTAGTGCAGTTCAGATAAATACAAAAAAAGGAAATTCCTTGGCCTCCAGAATGTACATGTACATGATTGTATGAGAATAAAGAAATTACCAAAATTTTGATTTGAATATTTATGCAAGTGTAAAATTGGATTAGAATTTAGTAGATATTTTTCCGGTACTTTTCAATTTTGTGTTTTAGACTTGTAATTTTTCTGGTACTTTTCAATTTTGTGTTTTAGACTTGTAATTTTTCTGGTACTTTTCAATTTTGTGTTTTAGACTTGTAATTTTTCTGGTACTTTTCAATTTTGTGTTTAAGACTTGTAATTTTTCTGGTACTTCTCAATTTTGTGTTTTAGACTTGTAATTTTTCTGGTACTTTTTAATTTTGTGTAAGCAGGATGGTTTTACTAAGTAATAATATTTTACATATTATATAATTGCATTCTAACTTTGCTTATATCAGAGTATCACAGAATTTTTAAATGATATGATGTGTGAGGTTTGACAAAAAAAAACTTACAGGGACTGATAAGCGGGTACTAATAGTATGATTGGAATGTTGATGGGTCTACTTAGATGCCCGTTTCTGCCTGAATTAATGCAAGAGAAGACATCTGAGAACTTCCTACATCAGCTAAGCTGGTCAAGACATGACATTTTCTGTGTTAGAATGACATAAAACTGAAAAAAAAAAAAATACAAACAAAATGTAATCTTAGATTAAGTGGTGTGAGACCATGCAGAACGTTTTTACAAAAATCTTAACTGCTAAAAGTTTTTGGTACATTATATGTTAAATGTTGTTCAAGCAGTAAAGATATCTTTCCCTGTATAACTCCTACCATATTGTTTTAGTAACATGTGGTATAATATAAAAAATAGTACATATTTAGTACTTGAGACCTCTTACATGGAGGATTTATTAGTGACCTTGCCTTTGGTCCATTTGATACTTTTTGGCTGACTGATTGGTGACTTTACTGGTTGGAGGCCTTCGGTGCAATCTGACTAAAATTCAGATCTACAACACATGTGTTCTTATTATTTTTATGTAGATCTCAGATGACTACTGTATATGTTTTGCCTTCTTTATATTCGGATTTCCCGAGAAAGCTATATTAAGCCATGCAATCAAACCAGTTTTTACATAGGCATTAGAAGTATCAAAATACCATTATCCATGGGAGTTAAACAAATTGTTGATTTTTTGTTAGAAAACAAAATGTCTTGAGTAATTTTTAACAAATTAATTTGAAATAATAGAGTCCATTTTTATTGGGCAAGATTGTCAGTTTACATGTTGGCTTTATGGACAACATCATGTTTGTTCTTGAAATTGTGAAAATTACCTACTCAGTATTGGTTTTCCCAGGGTTAATAATAAGAAACCAAAATGCTTTCAAAATTATGAAATCTGACCGACAATTGGCTGTGTGAAAGGTAAACGGGAATGATTTAGTATACATGTATGGCCACTGTTAGATCTAAAAGCAGTGCGTTATTTAGAGCTGATTTTAATCAGATTGCCTTCAGTGCTGAGTACTATTTCTTAAATTTTATCATTTTATTAAAATGTAATAAATGTCAGGAAGACATATTTGTTTTCTTCTTCTTTTTTTTATGAATAATAAAATGTACTAATGTAGCATCATCTTTTTCTAGCATGAGGTACAAGATTTACAGCTGAAAGTACAGGGGGCCTCATTCGATGCTGAATACGCTGCAAAGTAAGTTCTAGTATTATAATTAAAGGCCCATTATGCCTTGGGAATGCTTTTATTGTGTCCCCACTTTAGTGGCGGGCATTTAGATTTACCCTTGTCCGTCCGTCCATCCTTCCGTCCGTTCTCTTTTGTGATGCACGTAACTCAAAAAGTATTTGACCTAGAGTCATGAACCTTTACAGGAATGTTGATCAGCATGTGTAGTTGTGCACCGTGGTATTTTCGTGTGGATATTTTTAGTATTTTTAAAGTAATTGCCCTTGACTTAGTAAAATTTTGCAATTTTCAACTTGTGTCGCAGATAACTCAAAAATTATTTGATCTAGAGTCATGAAACTTTACAGGAATGTTGATCAGCATGTGTAGTTGTGCACCGTGGTATTTTCGTGTGGATATTTTTAATATTTTTAAAGTAATTGCCCTTGACTTAGTAAAATTTTGCAATTTTCAACTTGTCTCGCAGTTAACTCAAAAAGTATTTGATCTAGAGTCATGAAACTTTACAGGAATGTTGATCAGCATGTGATGTTGTGCACCTGGGTATTTTCGTCTGGATATTTTTAGTATTTTTAGAGTTATTGCCCTTGACTTAGTAAAATTTTGCATTTTTCAAGTTGTGTCGCATGTAACTCAAAAAGTATTTGACCTAGAGTCATGAAACTTCACAGGAATGTTGATCAGCATGTGTAGTTGTGCACCTGGGTATTTTCGTCTTGATATTTTTAGTATTTTAAGATTTATTGCCCTTGACTTAGTAAAAGTATGCAATTTTCAACTTGTGTCACGTGTAACTCAAAAAGTATTTGACCTAGAGTCATGAAACTTTATAGGAATGTTGATCAGCATGTGTTGTTGTGCACTTGAGTATTTTCGTCTAGATTTATTTAGTATATTTAGAGTTTTTGCCCTTGACTTAGTAAAATTTTGCAATTTTCAACTTGTGTCACATGTAACTCAAAAAGGATTTGACATAGAGTTCTGAAACTTTACATGAATATTGATCAGCATGTGTAGTTGTGCACCTGGGTATTTTCTTCTGGATTTATTTAGTATTTTTAGAGTTATTGCCCTTGACTTGGATTTTTTTTTGCAATTTTCAACTTGTGTCGCATGTAACTCAAAAAGGATTTGACATAGAGTCATTAAACCTTACGGGAAGGTTGCTCAGCATATTTAGGTTTCGCTTGTGGATATTTTTCAGTTTTGATAGATTTATTGCCCTTGACTTACAGTAGTATAAAATTTTCAACTTGTTCATGCATAGCTCAAAAAGTATTTCACTTGTAGGCCTGAAAGTTTACAAGAATGTTGGTCAGCATGTGTACTTATGCACATTGGGGTTTGCTTGTGGATTTATTCAGTATTTGTAAATTTCTTGCCCTTTACTTGGTAAAAGATTTTTCGTTTTGGAAAAATATTTGACCTAGAGTCATAAGATTGACAGAAAAGTGGCACGGTGGGGCACCCGTGTCCTATGGACACATTTCTAGTTGGTTTTTTTTCGAAAGCTTTTAATTTTTTTTATGTCCAGTTTAAATTTTCCAAACAGTAACTCATTGGCCAATTACCTAAGCCATCTTTTTCTTCTTTTGCTTTTTGACAATAAGTACACCTAAAGTGTTTTAGTGTTTTGCATGGAAGTCAACTACTTTGTTCGCATTTGCTACTTTTATAAAGAATAATTTCATATTCAGCCCTACTTTCTTCAGGTGATACGCAACTATCAATGCTCTTAAACCATTAACTAAATGTTATAAAACTCATATTTCCCCTTTTTACATAAGGAAATATTTAATTCGTTTCTGAGCCGTAATGTACCTTTAAGGTCTGGGTCAAAGGCCATAAAGAAACTGACTATGCTTAAACTCCGATATCCCGTATTTGATTGGCCAGAAATCAGCTCAGAATATACACTTACCAATGAAAATCCAGAGATTTCAGACTGAACTCGGAAAAAAGTTTTATAACTCAAAGGTTTGGTTCTGTCTAGAACCTCAAGATTTTTATTGTCCATTATACATTCTGTGCTGGTTTTTGACCCTTCAAATACCTGAGATCCGAAGTTTAGAAAAATTCTTTATAACCTTTGACTCAGGTGTTTCTATCTAATATTTTTGTCAACCAGTTGCTTTCTTTGACCAAGCAGGAGATTACGACTAAACTAAAGTAATTTTAATGCATTGAAACTGAGGAGGCTGTTTATCTATGTTTTGGTATGTTGTTTGTCCGTCTGGTCAGGCAATGTCTCATAATCAAACTTGGGAGTAACATAGCATAAAGACGTGATAAATGTCAGCGTAACCTATAAGTGAACTAGAAATGTGTCCATAGGACACGGGTGCCCCCACCGCGCCACTGTTCTGTCAATCTTATGACTCTAGGTCAAATATTTTTTGAAAACTAAAAATCTTTTACTAAAGTACAGGGCAAGAACTTTACAAATACTGAATAAATCCACAAGCAAACCCCAAGGTGCATAAGTACACATGCTGACCAACATTCTTGAAAACTTTCAGGCCTACAAGTGAAATACTTTTTGAGCTATGCATGAACAAGTTGAAAATTGCAAATTTATACTACTGTAAGTCAAGGGCAATAACTCTAACAAAACTGAAAAAAATCCACATGCAAAATCCCAGGTGCATAGCTTCACAGTGATGTGAATCATTATTCCTGTATTTTAGTGATGTTGATCATTATTCCTGTAAAGTTGGTTGATTCTAACTCAAGCACTCAAGGAACAAATAACAACATAATGAAACAGTTTTTACTAAGTCAAGGGAAATAACTCTACAAATACTGGATAAATCCACAAGCGAAACCCCAGGTGCAAAACTAAATATGCTGAGCAACCTTCCCGTAAGGTTTAATGACTATGTCAAATCCTTTTTGATTTACATGCGACACATGTTGAAAATTGCAAAAAAATTCTAAGTCAAGGGCAATAACTCTCAAAGTACTAAATAAATGCAGACAATAATACCCAGGTGCACAACTACACATGCTGATCAATATTCCTGTAAAGTTTCATGACTCTAGGTCAAATCCTATTTGAGTTACATGCGACACAAGTTGAAAATTGCAAAATTTTACTAAGTCAAGGGCAATAACTCTAAAAATACTAAAAATATCCAGACGAAAATACCCAGGTGCACAACTACAAATGCTGATCAACATTCCTGTAAAGTTTCATGACTCTAGGTCAAATACTTTTTGAGTTACATGCGACACAAGTTGAAAATTGCAAAATTTTACTAAGTCAAGGGCAATAACTCAAAAAATACTAAAAATATCCAGACGAAAATACCCAGGTGCACAACTGCACATGCTGATCAACATTCCTGTAAAGTTTCATGACTCTAGGTCAAATACTTTTTGAGTTACATGCGACACAAGTTGAAAATTGCAAAATTTTACTAAGTCAAGGGCAATAACTCTAAAAATACTAAAAATATCCAGACGAAAATACCCAGGTGCACAACTACACATGCTGATCAACATTCCTGTAAAGTTTCATGACTCTAGGTCAAATACTTTTTGAGTTACGTGTGACACAAAAGTGAACGGACGGACGGATGGATGGACGGAAGGACAAGGGTATATCTAAATGCCCGCCACTAAAGTGGGGGCACAACAACAGAAAAAGTGATATTTGTTTTAACTGAAAACAGGTTTTAATTTGAGATATATGATAAATAGAAAGTTACATGTGTAGATTCATTACAAAGAAAGTAATTTACACATTGCAAACGACTCTTATACTCCACGTAAATTACTAAAAAGGGGTAAAAATATGTGAAAGTAGCCCTTACTGCATTAGTCACTCAGTAGAAATATGGTGATAAATATTTCAAAATCAGCCATAAATTGCACATAACATCTAAATTTTTACTTGAATCTTTTTCCTTTTCTTAGAATCATGGTACATTTTTTCTCAAGGTTGATTTTCGTGAAATATTAAGGCTCATTAGGAGGCATGCAGCTTTTAACCTACACTCATTTTTGTATTTCTATCTCTGAATTTTACAGTGCTGTTCATGAAATGCATAAAAGTTCAAGCCATTTCACAAATATTCAAGACCTACTGAAGAATTCCATGTTTCTAAAACAGCAGATAGACTATGAACAAAACCGAAGGTAAGCTCTGTGCATGTATTGTTAATCTGTACCTGAGTTTCCCCTATATCTGGCCTTTTCCTAGCTGATTTGGGAAAAAGTACCGAAGTCAGTTTTGGAAATTTTGCGCTGTAAAATTGCTTAATTTAGAACTATTTTTGGTACCATTTGAAACTCCTTTCATTCTCTTTTGGCCCACTGTATTTGAATCGTGCAACAATGTATATTCAAACTCACACAAATATCAATTTTATACAATTCGTATATAGAGGATATTTGTTTGTTTTGCATGTAAGATTGAAATATAATTTCACTCAGTGAACACCAGATGCAATATTTTCATGAGTGGCGTAGCCACGAGTGAAAATATAATAGCTGGTGTTCATGAATGAAATATATTTCAATCTTATATGTAAAAGAAATAAATTTTCTTTTTATTTCATGCTTTTAAGTGATTTTAAGTATTTTTTACTGATTTTGCCACGTAACCTCGCATATTCTCCTTTGTGACGTCATCACATCATGACGTCACATCATCAATTTTGAAATATAGTTCTGTTAGATTTCTCTTATTTTGTTACATTTTTAACATGATGTATGGTGACATCAACTTTCTTTTCCTAAAGAAGCAAAATTTACGCATGACAGCATTTATTTCTGCCTATTATTCCATTAAGTTATGATTCTCCTTTCATCTGCATTCAGATATAGTCCGGCTACAGTGAAAATTATATTTTATAAATTTCACTAGTGGTTTATCACAATATAATCATCTGATATATATTACTATAAAACACTGGGAAGCATGAAATAAATACATTTCTTAGCCTACAAAATCATTATTTTTAAGTTTAATTTTTTTTCGTAAAGTTATTTTGCCCATCTGGAGTCATGTCTCTCTAATAATTTTAAATGTTCTGTATTTTTATACATCAGCTTATATATAATGTGGGTTTTTCAGAGAACAGATTAAGAATAATCCTGGCATGTATTCTACCATTTCCTCACCTAATATAAACTTACATGCTGAAGGTGGAGGGTTTGAGCGGCCAGCTACGCCAGTTCACGGCAGGCACAAACATTCTGAAAAACGCAGGGGAAGGGTCCGTCGTGTCATGTCCGAACATATAGAATAAATTCTACTGGTAGTAATAGATGTTGTGATGGTCTTTATTATGTTGTTTCTTTCTATATGAGCCGCGCCATGTGTAACCAACATGGATCCAGCATGGATCCAGACCAGCCTGCGAATGCATGTATCGTGCAGTCTGATTAGGCTCCATGCTATCAGTTTCTCTATTTGTAATAAGGTTTGTAAGCAAACAGCAAGGATCTTGATCAGACTGTGTGGATGAGCAGGCTGGTCTGGGTCCATGCTGGTTGTAAATGTTGGTTTTGTCATGACGCGACTCAATTATACTCTAAGTAGACCTTTACTTGCTGGAACTGAAAGTGTTTTTCTTGCATATCAGATGAGTCTCATGCTATACAATGGCGCCATTTTAGCACATTTTATCGTTTGAACTGCCTTAAAATGGCGTCATTTGCCTTAAAATGGCGTCATTTCGGCGTATCTTAAGACTGAAACCACATGCTTGGGGTGATGTAATTTTGCCGTTTTGAGTGAAGTTGTACTTTCATACGCTGTTGTAAGAAAATATTTGGAATCCATGGAAAATTGTTTGATTGAGGTATTATAAAGAATTAGTAATATAATGGAAACTGGTAGAATATGCAAGAAATGAATATCTAAGATATGTTTGCGGCTCAGATCGGAATATCTGTCCCTCCGGAACCCACAGATTTTCCTTTGCTTTCAGTATAAAGTTAGGCCGGCCTGCACATCCAAGCTGTCATACCGGACTCTTTACTGTTTGTAGCACATTTCTTGTATTTTGATATTAATTTCCCCTAAACTTTAATTGGACATTACCAAATTTAAAGCAAATCAATTAAGCAGTTTCATCAGTTTCAGAATAGGACAGCAGTTAATGTTCTAAAGAAATAATGTGATAGATTTGATTTGGGAAGGATTTTAGTACTTCTGTTTGACTTTGAGTAGCTATATTGAAGGTTTTATGTTCATTATGCAAGCTGTTTAGACATTATGTTATAAAATTATAATTTGTAGTGTTGTGTTCTAAAACAGATTTCTATTTTCAGGAAAATATCATTTATTAGTTATAAGCTCGGCTTCTTGCAATAATAAAGTGAAACTTTTTGTCATTGTCTAATTGGCAACATAAGCATTTATTAATCCTTACCATGCTAAATATCTTAAATAGACTTGTCCATCTTTTTATCTGGCCTAAACCATTCATGATTTTTAGGGAAAATTCAAAATAAGCACTGACTAAATAGTGAAACAGTGCAGGACCACGACCAAACCGGACAAATGTGCTGGTCGATCTTGGTCGGCACTCAGGTGGAATGGATATAGTTTTATATACACCGCTGCTGTCAATATATGACCAAATTTCACTTTTTTCTCTTAAAAAAAAAGCTTGCTGTATTATAAATTTATTATAAATAATTCTTACAGGTTATATGGCCATATATAAATGATTGTTTGCAATATAACCCTCACCTTGTGGCTTCAGGTTATATATTTGCAGACAAACCGTTATATATAGGGCTATATATTAACTTGTCAAAAACCTTTATAACTTATAATGAAATGGAAAATAAAGGTATAACAGAGGTTTCTTGATAACATGAATGAAGACTTTGTTTTGTGACAAAATACTCATCACTTCAAAGCTATTAATATGAGCCGTGCCATGACAAAACCACATAATGGGTTTGCAACCAGCATGGATCCAGACCAGCCTGCGCATCCGTGTAGTCTGATCAGGATCCATGCTGTTTGCTTACCAACCCTATTACAAGTAGAGAAACGGATAGCGAACAGCATTGATCCTGATCAGACTGCGCGGATGCGCAGGCTGGTCTGGATCCATGCTGGTCGCAAACCCATTATGTTGGTTTTGTCGTGACGCGGCTCTTATAAGTATTATTTAAAGGCACATCATGCCTCAGACATCCATACTTCTTAGATTTCTTTTTAGAAAAGTCATAAAGGTAGCAAAAATGTAAACAAAGTAGCATCTTGAATTTTATACAAAATACTTGTCTAAATACTTGTTTAAAATCTAAATCCCCACAACTATACTAAATCTGTATCACTATAACTATGCTAATCGCCAAGGAGCAAAAGATGGCTCGGCTATATGAACAACTTGAAAAATTTCTTTGAAAACTAATATGACAACAACAAAAAAAAAGAAGAAAAAAAAGGTATTTTAGTATTAAAAATGATAGCATTTTCAGGAGCTTCATCGGCCTTTAAAGTAAAACATAATTTGGACAAAAATGTTTGATTTAAAATATAACTCCTCAAGCTGTTTCTTTAAAGAACACTAAATCAATTTAATTTCATCACCATAGTGCAACTGTTACGGAAGAAGTTCTTCCAAATTAGATATGTTTTTATCAGTTATTGCACTAAGGTGACAACTTTTTCTTTCTGAATTATTTCTTTGTTAAAAGAACCTCTTTTATTTTGCTCTATTTCAGTCAAAATGAAAGCTCTAGATCTCCACTTTCGGGAAAGGAAACTCAGCCACATAAAGAAATGGATTCCGTGGTACAGTAGAAAATTTCCTCATTCCAAAAAAACTATTATGCCAACTCTTGTGTGTGTGAGACTGGATATTTATAAAACATAATAACAGGAAAGTTTAAAGCAGCACGCCTCCAGATTCATGCTAATTTTCATGAAACTTTTGAAAATGTGTTTGAGTGCGTAATATAATGAAGTTACCCAAAGGAAGCAATTTACACATTATCAATAGCACTAACAAACCACGCAAAATACAAAAAAGTGGTGAAAATATGCATAAAAGCCTTTACTGCGTTAGTAAAGCAGTAGAAATATAGTTGTAAATACAGAAAAATCAGTCATTAATCACACATAATAATTATGTAAAATATTAATTGAATCTTGAAAGTTTTTATTTTTCTTTACATCTTAGTACATTTTTCTCAAGTTTGATTTTATTGAAATATTTTGACTTATCTGGAGGCATGTAGCTTTAAAGTTCATAGTTGAACCTTTGATGAGAAGTGAGACTGTAAAGAGACAGCAATGAATTTGTAGATAGCCGAATGTGAAATTGTTAATTTTTTATTTGTTAATATTGTATTTTTAGTTTAATTATTTGTTAAAAATAATTTTTCAGTAATTTGAAACAGTTATAATTATAGAATAAGAAGGTTTCATTTAAAAATTATTAAAATTAATGTGATTTTAATTAAGCATAATTTTTAATGTCTGTTTTTTTATTGAAATATTAATGTTCATCTCATGTCAGTGAAATATAAGTCATATCAGAGACTTATATAATAGACCTGTTGTCATACAAGTATTTAAATGAGTGAAATATAAAATTTTGGATTTTGGTTACTGTTGAAAAGCATAGCATTAGGGAGAACACCACGATGGAAAAGATTTTCATGACATCATTAAATTTAGCTTCATTTGGCACTATATTTGCCATCATCTAGGCCTTTTTTCAAAGCTTTTTTTAAATACTATAGAAAACGATGTTAGATAAATGAATTAACAGTATGATTGTATAATAAGTGAATATGCAATATATTTCACTCGGAAACGAATGATTTTATATGTTCACTTGCACTTTTTGAAATTTTCAATATTTTTTTTTAAAGCAATTTTGAAAATATTTGTAATTCTCATACTACATGTTCAACTATCCCTATGAGATGTAAATTATGTTAACTAAATACAACCAATGATAAGCCAAGAAAAAGCCATCTATTTATCTAATAAATTGATTAAGTGTTTAAAGATCCTGTTACTAAATTTTTCATATGGTTTTATATCATATATATAATGCTCAAATTAATACTTATCAATATTGTAAAATTCCAAAAAGCATTATTTGAAAATATTTTACCGAATTTACATTTCATGTAAAATAAAGGGAGGTAAATAGAAATTTATTTTTATTAAAGTCTCAGCCATTTTTTTTTCAAAAAGAAATGAATGCATATCTTTAAATGCTTACCTATAATGTGTATAAACATTTGCAGTATATATTAACATATCCTTGGATGTTTTTAAGTTGTTTTAGAAGAATTACTTTATTCATATATGAAATTTCACTTGTGTTGTACATCCTTAATAACAATATACAGGATCTTTAATAAAGTTGAACATTTCTTTTGCTGCATGCATCAATTTTCATATATATTTACAGGGTTCGTACAGTCTTAAAAAGTGCTTAAAAATTTAAAAAAGTGCTTAAAAGTCCTTGAATTTGATTACTCTCTTGAAAAGTGCTTAAAAAATGCTTAAATTTGCTGAAAATGTGCTTGAAAATGATTGAATGACATAAGTGTCGATAAAAATCAACAGTTAACAAAATAAAAAAAAAAATACAATTAAGTATCAGAATCAATTAAATGTTTGCTCAAAGTAACAGTAAGTGGACAAATTGCAGTTGTTTCGAACTAATCTTTATTTGTTGTGCCCTTTGTAGTTCTTCTATAACATCCTTAAAATTGTGGCCAGAAAATACGTATTCAACAAAAATTGGCGAAAAAACTATCTTTATTAGATTGAAGATTGTTGATTTACGTGCAACAAATGTGCTTGAAAATGGGAAAACGTGCTTAAAAAGTGCTTAAAAAGTCATTGAATTTTGGCATTGGATGTCTGTACGAACCCTGATTTATCTTAATTATTAAGGTAAGGTTTTTATGTTGATTTTTTTTGTATACAACTAGTGCAATAGATTGATATTTATTTCCAAGGAAATATATCACTCAAATTCTTATTTTAATATAAAAATTATGTATGATTCTATTGTTAGTATATGTGTAATGATTTATATGAACATGAATATGAATGTTATTTAAAGTAAAAAAAACAATATAATTAAATATTGCCTGTGTCCCCTTCTTGTGTTTTTGTCTTCCCTTGTTATGTAAACATGTTTATTATCTCCCTTGGTTATTTCACAGAACTAGGTTACAAGTCTATGATTATGTTTATTTTATTTCAATTATGGAAAGATTATTATGGAGGCAGACAAGCCCTTAAGTCAAGCTTACAAAAGATATCTTGTCTTATTAATATTGCAAGAGTTGTTTCCCTTACACTATTTTGCTGGAAAAAAATATATGAGACAGTAGTTTTTAGCGAGACATTTATTCCCGAACCGAAGGCTATAGCAACTGGGTACTTTTGGCTACTGTGGTTTTAGGTCCATTCTGAGTGAAAACCAAAATAAGAAAGATTTGTAAATTAAAAACGAAAACATCGGCCTTTTTGAAATATACAAGAAAGACAACTCTATACGGCAAATGATTCAGTAATAACAGAGTAGTCTCCCTTTTACATGGGCTCTGCCAATTACGTTCTTTTTTTCCTGCAGACGATGTTTTTATGTATCGATAATACAACATGATGTGATGTTTAATTAGACATCTAAGGATTTGTAAATTGATACAAGAAACAACATTTAAAACATCAGTGTTATGTAAGCATGAACAAGAAAGACAACTCTGCATGGTAAACGATACAATAATAACAGCATAGTCTCCCTTTTCATACTGTTTTTCATATACTTTCATACTTTTTTCCTTGCGTATCGATAACACAACATGATGTGATATTAATGAGGAACTATTATAATATGCTTAAAGGATAATAAAGAAACCGAGATTTATTGCAAAAATTATTCATCATCAATGTATACATGTTTTTTTTCCAAATTGAAGCCCTTTCCATTCTTTTTTTTGTACTTGTGTTACTTATGATGTTTTCAGTCTCACTTCTCATTAAAAAGAACAACTAGACCAATATATGACTTTTTATAATGTATGGAGAATACAGTACTATCTGTGAAAAACAAAACCTGTGCACATTTCAGTTGTATTTTTTTTTTAATTTTTCTATGAAATGTTATATAAGCCGCGTCACGACAAAACCAACATAATGGGTTTGCGACCAGGATGGATCCAGACCAGCCAGCGCATTCGCGCAGTCTGATCAGGATCCATGCTGTTCGCTATCAGTTTCTCTACTTGTAATAGAGTTGGTAAGCGGACAGCATGGATCCTGAACAGACTGCGCGGATGCGCAGGCTGGTCTGGATCCATGCTGGTCGCAAAACCATTATGCTGGTTTTGTCGTGACACGGCTCAATTATAATGATAAAACTAAATACTCGTAGAAAATGGGCGTTCCTTAATAAACTCGTAAAAGATCATTAAATAGGACTATCTATTCACGTATAATAGCATTATCACGAGTACAAGCCTATAAAGTATAATAAGAGGACAGCTTCTAAAGCACGCGATAACCAAATTAGCCAAGTTTTTCTATTACAAAAGATGCCATTCTCTCCCGGCTTTATAAGCTTAATAGAACTTCAACAAGTCTAAGATATAGAATATTTGAACCAGTTTTGTGCAAAAACAACAACAAAAAACAACAAAAAAACAACAAGAAACAAGCAAGAAACAAACAGAACAACTTCCCCCCCCCCCTCCCACACCCCCCCCGCCCACACACAATAAAAACAACAACAAAACAACTTTCAAAAACAAAATAATAAGAGGCACTGTTTATTGCAAAAAAGAATAGCAAAAACAGGTATTTTATTTGAAATTACAAATGAAAAATCATTAAAACGTGTATAAATTAGTGCCTGTAGCAATCCCTTTATTTTAATAGGTTCAGAAAAGCAACGCCTGTTTATTTGGAAACTTTATTGTTTAATATGATTCATTATAAAATAACTAAATTCGTGACTTATGGGCAAATTGGGCCGTGTGCTATAATTGTACGCATGATATTATTGTTTTTGGTAATTTACTATGCGCATGTCACACTAATATACACTTTTACTAACATAAACTTAATTGCTTTAATAAGACGGTGAAGTTGATTTAGCTATCTTGTTTTCTGCAATGTTAAACCAGCAGACATTAAGATACTAAAACAGTTACATGTATATGTATCATATTTTGCATAACCATGACCATGCCATCATTGCTTCGAAACACGCCTGATTCAAATGCTTTCAGAAAATAAAATTGTCACCTAAATGGCCTTAAATTTGAACGATATAATGCAAAAGAATGATGATAATTGAAGTTACCCATGCTCAATTTGTTTTGTATGTAATCAACTTTATTGCAGTTGTTCTTATGGCGGAAATATATCAAAATCGTATATCTATTCTACAAACAACGGTGACTTAAGCTTGAGTTATTAATTATCTTATTTCTGGCATAAGCTTTGACAAGAGCAGCGAAA